TAGAGAAGGCATAGGCCCTCCTCTCATGGAGCATAAAGCCCAGTAGGTGGCTGAGAAACAAATAGCAATAATTCTAAATATCACAAGATAAGTAAATTATAAAGTTGTATGTATTAAGTAAGGTCCGAGGAGGAAACGTGTTATGTAGAGGGCAGATAACAGAATGCTTCATGGAGGAGGTGACAGTTAAGGTGTGAAGGCTAGCTGGTAAACCCAGGGGTCATATTTAGAGGCACATGCAAATCTACATGTAAATAGATGGAAAGAAGTTTGGCAAAGTGATGGCAATAAATGATACATTTATTTATTTATTTTTATTTATTTATGGAAACTCAAATGACTTTTGTCTTCTTTTGCCCAAATTGCCTGAAACTATTTTCTCAAAGCATACAAATTATTTATATGATACAAATGGTGAACTGATTTCCAGACAGAATCAGTGCATGCTATTCTAGTTCTCCCCCTGAAATAGCTCCCTAAGCTCTCTCCGTTTGCTCCCCTGTGGATTAAAGCTCACAGTCAAGAAACAGCCATATCTTGTGTCATTAAGCTAGCACATTATTTGTTGGGACACCAGATCTTCCAGGTCATACTCCCCTTAGAATAATCACATACACGCTGTTGACTGCTCAAGGTGACATGTAATTATTTTCAACTCAATCCCAGGAAAAGTCAGTATTATCAAGACAATTAGAGATGGATTACATCTCACTATTCTTTTGTGACCTTTTATTAGTTCACTATGGGAAGGATGATGATATGACAACATTTGGTGATCAAGCAAAGTGTGTATACCACCAAGAGAAGGGGCTCATTCTAAAAAAAATATCAAGACGATTTAAAAGATGATCAAGGGATCCAGGGTTCCAAGCTGGAATGATACATACAGCCCAGAGAAGTGAAGTGACTTGCCCAAGGTCACACAGGCAGGAAGTGGGAGAGGTGGGATTGAACCTTGCTTGGGTCTTCAAAATTCCTCAAATGCCAAATCCAGGGCTCTTTAGAAAGAGTACTTTAATCTAAATGTTTCAATGAATTTCTAGCATAGTTTTGGACTTCTGCGGTAATATTTCAATTATTACAAAAAACATTTTTATGCATTAGTAATATTTATAATCATCTCAATTTTCTCTTATCACTACTGAAGCTAAATTATATGACTGAAGTCTATTATTTAACATGCTCAGTTATGTTAACCTTTTATGTTTATTCCCTGTATTTCCTCTAAGTAGTACAAAAATCCAAGAAATTGCTTGCAAGTTTCATATGTACTATCTTTGTTCTTCCCAAGGTCCCTAGAGAACCCTAGAAATTCTAATTAGTATTAGCAGTTATTGCCTACATGTTTTATTATTATTTCAAGTGTAGTTAATATTAACAGTCATTACTCTAATTCTTGTATAATATTGCTATTATCTGTGATTGCCAAGGATCTTTGCAAGCAATAATGACCATATCATCACAGGCCTACTGGTTACATTCTGCTCCAAGGTCATCAGATTGAATTCTTAATACAAAATGGAGGACAAAACCAAAAATAACCAAAGTATCCATGATGAGTATCATAGTATTAATAAGGTCTGCCTTGACTATTTGAAGTCCTATATAATTTCTTTTATTAATCGGAAAAAATATTGAAACATATAATCACGATTAGCCATGACATTATGGCTAATAAGGGAATTCAGAATATTCAATTCAAAGCAATTGGATTTTAGGGTTGGGAAGGACCTCATAGATCAGGTACAGTTACTATAATTAATATTCAATGGCATCTTGCTCTAACCTAATTAATTTTTTATAAAACACTAAATGAAAATAAAACATCCACGATGCCTAATAAAAGTAATTTAAACAGAAATGTTGGAGCATGGCACTTTTTTATAAGCTAAACGCATTACCTATTAAAAGAAAACATCAGAAATGGTAAGTCTGAGTCACAATTTATGAGTTTAGCATTTTGAAATGTTCTTTCTAATTTGTAAAACTAAGTCACATTAGTTCTTCAGTTCTTCCTTGAAAGTAGTAGTATCTGTGACTCCACATGACATTCCTGGTGGACAAGGCATGCAGGTTTCATTTAACAACTGCAGCAGAACTCAGGCAAAGTCTTAGAAGAAGGAGAAATACCATTGGGGTCTGGCCTCTGGGAGAACAGTTTCCCTCCCCAGGACTGGTAGAATCATGCAAAGAGGTCCCAAGGTAAGAGAACATAGCAATGCTGAGTAAGAGCCTGTGGCCAACGAGCAGGCAGTGAGCAGGTGAGGGAAGACGAGAAACTAAGGAAGCAAGACCGATGTAACTTATTTATCTTTCACAAACAAGATACAGGAGGACTGGCCTGAGAATCAGAAGACTTGAGTTCCAGGCTCCCGTCCAGACACTTCCTCCTGTTGGCATGTTAAGCAAGTCACTGAACTCTTTTGAGCATTAACTTACTAATTTATGATACTTGTGCTATCTATCTCATAGTACTGTTGTGAGGAAAAGGTTTTGTAAACCATAAAGAACTTGACAGATATGAGACCTATTACAGCAGAAGGAGATTTTCATCCCATATCTTCTGACTTCAAGTCCAGTAAAGTCTCTGCTTCCCCAACATGGCTGCTATTTTTCCTTATATATTTAGGATAAAATGTCTTAGTCTCTCTATAGTAGTGCTCTCAATAACTAGGCAAACATTTCCATAAAATTTTTTATATCATTTTGCAAAAGCCAAAGTAGTGATTGCAAAGGATTCAGAAGTCATCAGGAAACAGGGCCCAGAGAGGCCAAACAAGGGAGAAAATAGGTCAGAGATCATATACGGGATTTGTCCCATTGCTGTCTAGTGTATGACAGTCAATTCAGAATACATTATGAGCAAAAATGAACATGTTCCAAGTGAGGAATGTGAAAAACACTGTGGGATAGACTTAACTGGAACACTTTTGATGTACTTTTATAAATCTCCCAAAAGATATGCAACCTGAATATTAAAGATGATATTAAAATTAGAAGACATCCAAATCACATACTTTCAACAACTATGGCAAGGATGTGAATTCTTAACCAAATAAAAGAGAGAATCAGAAAAGATAAAATGGGTCATTTTGATTACATGAAGTCGAAAAGCTTCTGTATGAACAAAATTAATGCAACTAGGATAAGAAAGGAAGAAAACTACTAGGGAAATAATTTTACCAAATATCACTGACAAGGTTATGATATCCAAGACAGGCAGACAAATAACAAAAAAGCACTTAACAGATATGAAATAACAATTCTCAAAGGAAGACTAGCTACTAACAACCATATGAAAGAATTCTCCAAATCATTAAAAATACAAGAAATGCAAACCAAAATAATTCGGAGGTTTCACCTCACACCCAGTAGATTTGCAAAGATAAGGAAAGAGAGTAGCAATCAATTTTTGAGGGCTGTGGAAGGGTGGGTATGCTAATACATTGTTAGTGGAAATGCTTTAAAACCTTCTAGAAAGCAAGTTGGAATTATGTTTACATAAATGATTAAAAGTGTCCATACCCTTTGACTGTAAAATCTTACTGGAAGGAATATCCCCAGGAGGTCAGTGACAAAAAGAAAGGTCCCATATATACCAAAATACTCAGAGCACCACTTTGTATAGTAGCAAAAAAAAACTGGAAACTAAGTAGATTCCATTAATTGGGAAACAGATAAATGAGATGTAGTATACGAATGTGACAGAATATTATTGAACTTTAAAAAACAATGAGTGTCATACATCTACTGAAATAACTGGAAAGGTGTTTGTCACTTCAAAGAGTATGGAATAACATAACATGCTGCTTTTTGAGGAGAAACCCGTCTTTGGGGGGAAAATACCCTAGAACGTCTTAGTGATTTGTTTAATTAATGAATTACTTAGAGAGAACGCAACCAGAATGAGTTACTTAACCTTTCTAAGTGACTTAACTTCATAAGTAAAACAGAAAAAACAATAGTATCCATAGTACCCACTTTGCAGATTTATTGTTAGACTAAAGCAAGTTATATGTAAAGTACTTTTCCAACTTTAAAATTACACATATCAACTGTTATACTATTATTATTATTCCCATACAAATATAAAAAAAAAAGTTTCCAATTAAATGATAATCCAACTATGTTCCAGGACAATTAATGATATGATTGGGCACTTTACATCTAATTTAAGTAATTCAAATTCCACAAATATATGGAAGGTTGAGAAGTTGTTAAACACTCAGTTCCAAATATGGAATCTCATAAAATCACAATTCATCAAATACCCAATTTGGAGCTGAGAACATAAAATCTGCATAAAAAGTATCATAGAGAGCTCACAATCATACAAGCCCCCTGTAAAGCAGGCAGCACAAGGGATCATCACACATGATTTACAAATGAGAGAGGTTAAATGAGAGGTCCAGGGTCACATGATCAATACGTTTCCTAGGCAGGACCTGAAGTCAGGCCCCCTATCTCCAAATCCTCTGCTCTTTCCACTATACTATCAAAGAGATATACAACAGTTCTGAGAATAAAGTTTCTGCATAGTTCAAATATAAGACGAAAGACTATTTTGCCTGCTGTCAAAGTTTATATCAACTGCATTGAAAGCTGCGACACAAAACTGGTATTTTGTTACATTATTTTCCCATAGATGGTAAAGCAATACCTGGATCTTAGCAGGTTCCATTAAAAAAGAAAATTTTGTTACTAACACTTTAACCACTAAAAATAATAAAGCTCAAATTTTAAGACAAACCAGAAATTACAGACACATATCCAAATTTTCCTCCAGAAAAGCACGCCAGGAGCAGCCTCAGTTTATAGCCAAAATATCATGAGCTGATATCACTGAAACAGGCTAAACAATCCACAAGATTTTCTCCCTAAATTTTTTGGAGGAAACACAACTGAAGATATCCTTGCCACATTCTTAAAACAACCCAGGGAAGAAATGTTAACAGTAGAAAAAGCAAATACCTCTTTTCTGTAAAACCCCCCAAATGTACCTTTCAGCTGTGTAGCAAAAGTGAGTGCCAGTTTTGCAAAAAGATCTGGATTTTCAAACTTATCTTCCTTAACTTTTAACCAGAAACAGTTTTCTGATATTTCCTGTGGCTCAATCTGCAACAAAAAAACCAGCAAGAATAATGTGGTCAATTATTACATATTTAGTTTAAAAAAAAATTAAGTGGACCTACATTTAAGCAAACTTGATGACCAGTTTATCGTTTCTGTCTGCTGTTCATTGCTTCCATTTCAGTCTCTATCCAAGTAGTTTTCTGTCCCTTATTAATTAAGGAGAGACAGCATTGAGCAGTGGACAGAGAACTGGCCTTGCAGTCAGGAAAACCTGGATTCCAGTCTCACCTCTGACCCAGGCTACCTTTGTGACCTTAGGACAGACGCTACATCTCAGTGCTCCAGGCAGCTCAGAGACTATGAGCTGCAGAGAAGATCCCAATCTTCCCGGGCGAAGGGAGTTCCCTCATTTGGAGTTCTAAATATACCAGTAAAGTTGCAGTTCTAGCCCCTAGCCACTAGCCATTTATACAGAAAGTTTCAATTTTTGACAGTTCATAAAGGAAAAGTTGCACAGGAGAAATATTCCACTTATCATGCTGACATAAAAGTGAGGGTTTTCTAGGGTGGCCATCACACTTTAATGAGCCTCAGAATTAGTATCTCTCTCCACTCATCAAAGAGTCAGCTGTCACTGAAAGCAGTTGGCCAGGGGTGGGGTACCTGCAGCCTGGAGGCTCCATGTGGTCCTCTAGGTCCTCAAGTGCAGCCCTTTGACTGAATCCAAACTTCCCAGAACAAATCTTGTTTGATTTGAGGTTGCAGGTTCCCCACCCCTGGTCTACGCCAATTCAAATGGTGGCTGCTCACTGATTCATTTAACAAGCAACTCAATGCTTAGTAATGTCAGGGCTTCGAAGCTATCAAAAACCCTGATTTGGCTATTACATGATTTAATCCAATTCACTGTAGAGGTGCTAATTAATAACATCAACAGATATGGACTTCATTTCTATTTAATAGGACTCCAAAATCTGATGTTAGGAATAAATTTCATTCTACGTAAAAACTTACATGTACCTATCCCTATCTTCCAAATTTCTCCAGAGATGAAGTAAGACTTACATATTATTCAAGAAAAGTTCATCAACCCCAATATCCCACTTCCCTTCTACTTCTTTCCTTCATCTTCCCATTTTCTCTCCTCCTCCCTCCAATTTGTTGTCTTCTCTCTTTTTACCCTTTCATAAGTATTCAATATAGGAGACGTCTTCATATGGGTAGTATTACTTTATAATAATAATTAAATATGCTGAAAACAGCATGCATATATTCTATCATCACTAGTTTAAGCAGTCTCTCTAGCTGAAAAGGCAATCCTGAAGATTGTGTGAAAGCTATAACTCAATAAAAAGACCTTCATTTCTTTGGAACAAAACTAACTGTGGGTTATTAAACATTCAGTAAGTAAAAGGGATGGAAAAAATATGATTTCACTCCTTATTCCTGCTAAAAGTATGATCCAATACTTATAATAAGTATAGCAATGGTAAAATAAACTAAGGTACTCTTCAATGCCTCTTTCTATCTGGATTATCTATATCCATTCCTCATCCTGCCTCACTAATTTCTTTTACTGCTGGCATCAACTTTCAATTCATTTTCACTTCTTCCAATGACCCAGGTGGATCCTACCTACATCACTTTAGGAATTGTGAAAACCTTAAATAGTTAATAATTAGGAAGAAATATTTAATTCAGTAGTTATCAAACAATATTGGAAGTAAAGATCCCAAATGAAAAAAAAATTATCACCATAAGCTAAAGATGTTATAAAACAGTTCTAGTCTTTGCTACTGAGATTCTGTCCCTATTTCAGCCATCAGTTCAGTTATTCTGCCACTAATGATGTGGCATGAGAATCACAGATCCCTGTGTAGCATCCATAACCTTAGCTCCCCCAGCCCACCCAGTAAAAGCCATTACCTTGGACCAATTGATTCTTTTCATGGCCACTTCTGGTTTGTATAATTTTTTTGCCTTCATTCCAAAAGGTAGGGAAGCAGGAGCTCCAGGAGGAGGAGGAATACCACCCAGAGGTGGTGGAGGAGGAGGTCCCCCAAACAACGGAGGTGCTGGTGGTACAGCTTCTCCAAGCAAAGGAGGGGGAGGAAGAGAAGGAATTCTTCCAGGCAGCGGTGGAGGAGGAGGTGGAGGAGGAGGAACAGTACCACCTGGTACTGGTGGGGGTGATGGAGGTAGTGGAACTCCTGATGAACCAGAAAGTCCATGTCCCTGGAATAATACATTTGAAATAACAGACATCACACCTCTGTAATTGTTTCTATACTTACTAAATTAAGTATTATATTTGCTCTCTAGGATATTAATAATTCAAGGAACACTAATTTGAGGGGGGTAATGTTTCCAAAGTTCATGCATGTTAATACAATCCCTATGTTTTCTTATTAGCATTACAGACCACATTTGAAAACTATTACTTTCACTGTATTTGCAAAATGACATTCAGTTTATTTTTTTATTAAATAACCCTTCAAAATAATAAAAAAAAAAATAAGCTTCATATTATGTAATATATATACTAAAGAATTAAGTATTTTGTAAAATGGTCTCGACCTGTTCAAGCACTTGGATAGAATACAGTACTAATTAGGACAAGGTCATGAATGCAATCCCCAAATGGGCCAATTAACTTTGCACAAATAGAATCTGTTTCATAGCCCCTGTAACCCACTTGTCTAATAATTATTGTAATAATACTAATGAATGTTTTAAATTTACATAATGATCTATATTTATAAAAGGGTTTCCACCTTCATTATCTAATTTGATCCTCACAGGCTTATAAGGCAGGCTGAGCAGATAATATTATGCCCATTTTTACAAATGAGCAAACTGAGGCTAAGAGAGTAGAAGTGACTTGCTCCTGCTCATATGGCTAGTTAAATGCAGAGCCCAGAAAAGAGTCACAATCTCCAGGCTCACAATCCAGTACACCTTGCACTATGGCGTGCTACCTCCCTGCAAATACATGTTATCAGTGAAAAGAGGAACAGGAATGAGAGTAGCAACGAAAACCCAACCCAAACAGAGCAAGCACACTGTCTACAAATGCGTGTCAGCATCCTCAACAATGAGCTGTACATGTGGAGGGCCTATTTTGCACCATCCTATCTTCTTTTTAATGACTAATCAACCAATGCTCATTTACGTGAAACACTAATGATCTGAAAACCACACTTCCCGAATAACGCGTAATCATTTTCCAAAAGCTCACATTCAAAATAATTCTAAGACTATTCTAAGACTCCAACCCCACCACCACCACCACGCACATAAAGCTGCAAGTATTATTCTGATACAACCAGTTTAAAGCGTGAGCCTGTTTACAAATCAACTTTAAAATGATGTTTGAAGAATGCCAAGTAGGGCAGTCTGGTTGGATTATGGGATTCATGAAAGGGAGCAAGGTGTAAAGAGAGAGGTAAAGTAGGAAAGTGTCAAGCTGAGAAGGAATTTAAATGCCAAACAGAGGACAGTATATTTCACGTTAGAAGTACTAGGTACCCATCTGAGTCCACTGAGTAGCAGGATGATGGGTTGGGAAGTGCATTCTCAAGAAATCATTTTGGCAGTTGAGTGGAGAAGGATTTTCAGTGAAGAAAGACTTGAGATAGGGAGGTCAATCAAAAGGTTATTATGATAGGCCAAGTGGGAGGTGACGGGGGTCCAAACTATGGGAAGGAACTGAGTGGAAAGAAGAGAACTTGACATAATGGGAGTAGGGAATAAAATAAGTTCTGTCAAGCAACTGGATAGATAAAGCATTTATTAGGTCCTTATTAGGTACCAGGCACTGGGGATAAAAAAAAATACAATCAATATAGTCCTTGCCCTCAGGGAGCTTACATTCTATTGGGTGAAAACAATGCAGAAAGGGGCATGGCATGGAATAGAGTGGGAAGGGAGATGGAGGCTTGACTGTGGACAGGACAAGGCAAAACCTAAGACACCCAAGACTGGAGTTCTGATTATTGGGGGGAGGGGATGCAAACTTTTTCAATGCAAGGAATATCTATCCACATAGGAAAATCACAGATTGTTCAAGTATTATGCTAATTAATTGGTTTACAACAACAAAAACGTACATGAAGTTCATGAAAATCATTCACATTTTCACCACTTATTTAATAAAGTTTCAGGGATTAACAAAAGGCAGTGCAGAGAACACAAATGAGGATCAAATCCAGTCTCTACCCTTAAGTTCATAAGTAAATCTCCAGGGTAGAATGTGATCCATGGCATAAGTATTATCAAGTGCTACAGAAATCCTGAGGAGGGAGAGATGACTTCGGCTGCTGTGGGCTTTGAAGATGAGAAGGCGAAGAAGAAGGAATGAATCAGAGGACACTGCAGATGAAAGAAATAGCATGGGAAAATTACAAATGCAAAAACTCAGAGGAATGGTCAGTGTAGTTTCGCTAAACAGAAGGGAAATATTATGAGATAAAGATGGAAGCAGTGGATGAGGGCAAAACATGGAGAGCCTCTAATGCTGGTTAAGGAAGCTGTACTTAATTTACTGGGGCAATAGGGAGCCAAGGAAGCCACATGAGCAAAGTTAAGTACAGGTATTAAGGAGATTATTGGAAACAGTGGAAATGATGGATGGAAAGGGTGAGGGATAATAGAAAGAAAAGTTGCAAGGGTACTGTGAGAGAGTAAGAGGACTGGCGCTTGGTAGTGAGAGCACAAAAGATGGAAAAGTTACAAAAAACATTCTAGAAGTAGCATAAAAAGGGTTTGGCAAATGACCAGGGTAAGCAATAGAGGGGAGTCCAAGATAATGATGAGGCCTGGAATCCAAATAAGTAGGATGGCAGGGGAAACCTTAGCCAAAATAATGAAGGCAAGATGAACAAACAGTTAGTTTGGAGGAAGATGAAACTGAGGTTCAGTTGTTAACAAGCTCAGCCTGGGGTAATGCAGCTTTATAATAACACCTCCAAAGGCAGTTAGAAATGAGAGACTGGGGCTTGGAGAAAAGTTAGGAGTAAACACATAGATTTGGAAATCGACGTAAAGGTGACAGGGAAAGTAAGGTGGGTGGAAGCAATCACTGAAATCAAGAGGGAAGAGAATCACATATGCAAACTTGAAGCATGTCCACATTTCAAAGATGAAGATGACTGAGTAAAAGAGACTGAAAAGGGGTGTTCTAAGAAGAAGAAGAACCAGAAGAGTAGAGCAAAGGAAAAGAAATTCAAAAAAGGGGCAGTCACTTGTGTCAAATGAAAGAGAGGCCTATGAACAGGGACGTGGGGATGTGGTGATTAGGAGGTCTCTGGTTGACTTTGAAGAGGAGTTTAGATGCAGGGAAGAGGACCAGAAGTTAAACTGTATAAGGTTTGAGGGTGACTGTGTAGTAATGAAATGACAGCAGCCAGTGTATATCCGCTTAGGCTAAAACAAGTGCCCAGGGGAGCACATCTTCACTGATCGAAGCTCCAGAGTGTTCTATTATTGTGAAATATTTTACATACAAGGCCTCATTTGGCCCTCACAAGAAACCTGTGACATGTGTAAGGCAGAAATCACTACACTCTCTTGCAGAGAAGTTAAATAATTTGTCCAAGGTCACATATCTGGTAAGTGCCATGATAGTAGCCATGTCATCTGAATTTAAATGCAGGGCATTTTTCCACAGAGCTATGAATTTAGATACTTTCAGATTTGGGGCACATGCTTGTAGGGTTTTAAAATGAGGTAGTCAAATATGAAAGAGAATTGTGGCTCAGAAAAAAAAAACAATTATGGGGATAATTAAAATTAATGAGAATTGTTATATTCTTTTTCAAAAGAAAACATGGATTCAGTATTTCAAATTTTATATAAAATAATTTTTATTTTAAATTATAAATTTTTATATAAGCCATGTTCAGAAATATACTAATAAATTGTATTTTTAAAGAAACTACTCCATTAACCTTTTAAAAATGTAATTATTCTAGATTTATTTTATGAATTTACAAATAATAAATGTATATTTATAATATATACATATAAATTTAAATGTCTACATTTAAATATACACATATATTTAAATGTCTACATATAAATAAAAATTTACAGTTTATAAGATATATTTTATATAAAAATGTTCCAGAAATATCTATTAAACTAGATGTATTTTTTTAACTACTCCATTCACTTTTTTTGTTGGACATTTGAATGATACAGCGTTTCCAATAATAAAAATCTGTGGAATCATTAAATAAAATGGTAAAGTGCCACAAACCTTTCCCCTGGCCATGCTGTCTCTTCCCAGCCATGTTCCTCCCAGTGCCAGCACCTCAGGTATTGTTCTTGTTTCATTACCTGAGTTCGGAGCTGCTGAAGTTCCATCTCGAGTTCTTGTATTTTCTCCTCTCGTCGTTGAAGTTCAGCCTGGGCCTCCTGTCGTGCTGTGAATTCCTCATCAAACTGCAATAATCACTTACATCAGTTTTCTCATCTACCTATGAGAGACTTAATACTAAGCTTTGAAAAAAAGCTTCAGCAATGGCATATAGGAAATAATGAGGGATTGGGGGTGGAGGGGACAAAGTTATTTTAAACAAGTCTACTTAGAAAATAACATCGTTCTGGATTGTTTAGTTCCCTCAAAATATTACATCCTCAAAAACATCTGATACTTCTGAAAAAATGTAAATTACAAGTAGGAAGATATCCAATATGATCTACCTTGACAAAGGACAAGTTGTGCTCTGTTCAGATCTCAGATAAGGCCAAGCACAAATATTCTGCTCAATTTGGAAACGAAATTGAAAAACATGACATCATGAAGAGATATGTTCTTCAGCAGAAGTCATATTCTGGGATAGCCACGTGAAGGAACTTTTAAGAAAAACTAGAATATTCCACAACCATCTTTGGCTGGCAAGCATTCAAAGAACAGTGTTCAAAAAGCTGATACTGGAGTAGTCTATTACAGCAAAGGAATTCACCACGTTAATGGTGCTCATTCTATACAATGAGTAAGAGAAATATTACGTAAAAATCTTGGATTATCCACAAATGAATAACATAGAGTGCTATCAGAAACAGAAACACACATGCAGAATCTGATTCATAGAATTTTGAAGCCCCAAAGTATTTTAGAGAAAATCTAGTCCAACAGCCTCATTGGAAAGATTAGCAAAGTGAGGCTTGGAGAGTTCAGGTGACTTGCCAAGGTCACAGACTGGTGCCTAGGAGATCCTCCTGATCTCCTAAGTGGCATTTTAGTTCTTTTTCACTCTAGTACACCACCATCTCAAGTGACTCTTTCAAGACGAAAAGTTCCAGAGGTCACATAGCACCAAAAGTGTTTCTACTCCAAACAATGTTCATGAGAACAGTTCACTAACCAATGAGATCTCTTTATAATCACTTCTAGAAAACTTGCCTGGAGAAAACTGAGACAAGTGACATTTGCCCCAGTCAAACAGTGTCATCGTACAACGTCCACTAAAAACGAAGCAAAGGGCTTCAAAAAACATACGGGACGTTAGAAAGAGAAAGCCTTCTTCACTGATCAAAAGTTGTACAGATCTCTTACCTTTAGTGTTGCACTAGAAAAAGTGACAGCTCCACACCAACACTTGTTGCTCGAGTCCCCCTAGTGAGTGAGTGAGTGAAGACCTGTCCCCAAATGCCCTAAAGTACTGACATTCTATAATTTCTGGACCAAAATAGATATTAGATAAATTAGACACCAGAACAGGTATCTAATCTTCAGGCAAGTCATACTGTTCAATGGATGGTATTGGACAAGCATTTCATCTCACTAGTAGAAAACTACTGGCTTCCTGCATGCTTTTCTCCTTTGCTCTGGCACCAAAAGATGAAGAGGGAAAATACACAGGTTCAAGAACCATAGAAAGGTGCTCTTAGGAAAATATCAACCACAATTATGGGTTTCTGACTTTCTCTAATAAAAGCCTAAATCCAATCCCAGCAAAGATCATGGTCATGGGGGCTTAAGAACAAAGTTTGCTTAAGAGCCTTTCCTACAACAAACATATGCTACACAAGAGTTTGAAGTTTGTGAAGCAGAAAATTCAGAAACTAATTGAAGTGCTTAACTTTGTTTCCACAAAGAGAGATGAAGTTCTCTCCTTGGTAGGACTAGGCAAACATCTCCCAGCTCTCTAAAGAGTTCTTTACCATGAGGAAGAGAGTTACAGGAAATACATGAAAATTTATTTTTCATTACTGCTATCATTCATATCATCTTAGCAACTTATTTATTGTCATTTTACTAGCTAATATGGCTTTTTTTTCATAGTATATTAAGACTGATGCCAAGGGAATAGTGTGAAATGCTGAACTTATTTTATTAGTAGAAAATGTCAACATTCCATGGTTATTAAATTGGCCAAAATATATAACATAATAGAGCATATGCTTAAAATAAAATTTTTCCTGACATCCTGATTCCTACATAATGGTGAAAAATTCTACTAAATTATAAAATAAGTGGGCAGCTAGGTGGCGCAGTGGATAGAGCACTGGCCCTAGATTCAGGAGGAGCTGAGTTCAAATCCGACCTCAGACACATAACACTTACTAGCTGTGTGACCCTGGGCAAGTCACTTGACCCCATTGCCTAGCCAAACAAACAAACCAAAAAATAAATTATAAAATAATGTCATTCCAGCATTACATAATCTTACCTTTTTGGAAAATTCCACTGCCTTTTGTTCACTTTCTTCTACTTTAGCTTTGTCTACACATGCATCTATTAAGATTGACCAAAAGCAATTAGAAACGATTACATCACATACTCACAAGGAAAAGGCTATTGTGCCTTCAGATTATCTTCAGCTAATTCGAGGGAGAATCATTTTCTGTCCCTCAAGAATGTAACTTCAATTTTTATATGGCAGGAAAAAAGGGGGGGAAATCTCACCATGTCATATGTGGAACATAAACAAGTCTGTTGTTTTTTTCCTAGTGCAAGATACTATTCTTCAAGACAGACTCACTGGGGCATGGAAATGCATATATCAAATTCTTCCAGAATGAAGGGCAGCTATGGAGAATGCAGGCCCCAAAGACAAGGCAGCCTGGGTTTCAGTCCTATCTCTAACACATCTGGCTGTGTGACCACAGAAGTCACAGCTTTTCAGTGCTCTAGGAAACTCCCTAAGATTATAATGTGCAGGCAAGGTCTCCACCTGCACTGGTAGAGGGAGTTTCATGACCTGAGCGTTCCTCTTATAAAGGAAATCACATGTTCTGTCCCTATCCCTTTGTCCAAGATTAACATAAATTATCCAGGTCAGTGGGTTTTCTGTTTCCTAAGATCACAAAGCCCTTCTGACCTGTTTTTCAGGATTTGCTATTAGAGTAGGGGCTGTGACAAAATGAAAACACCATTTATGCCCCACTTGGGTGCCATAGGAAAAAAAAATGAATCCATTCTAAAGTGGTGCTAATAAGTTGAAGAAGGGAATAGATAGCAAAACCAAATAAATTCGGGGCACAATGGGTAAACATGAAGTTTATCTCACAAGATCTCTACAGACAAGATTTGTAAGTTATAAGTTTAAACAAAAGGAAGGAAATATATGACATTTTTTTCCGAGACTAAGTTTTCCAGTGACCTAACCCAATTGACAGAAATACTGGTTGCCATATGACCAATATGCTATTAATAAATCATTCTTATTTATTCATTAAACACATTACCTAAGGGCCTGAAGTATTCAAAGCAATATTGGTCACTACCACACGTAGCAGAAAGAACAGAATCATATTATCTTAAGAGCTAGAATGCCTTGTACCAAATGTAGAAATTTCTTCTTTAATATCCCTGCCAGCTGATCATTAAACCTCTGCTTAAATACTTCCAATGGGGTGAAGCTCACTATTTTGCTAAGCAAAACATTTCATTCTTTGATGCTCTGAACTAGTTAAGAGTATTTTCCTTATGTAGAAGAGATGATCCCCTCCCTAAAACTTCTACCCAGTAATTCATACTGTGCCTTCCACTGAATGATCACATTTTATCTCTTCAAATATATTCAATGTTGGGGCAGCTAGGTGGCGCAGTGGATGGAGCACCAGCCCGGAAGTCAGGAGGACCTGAGTTCAAATCCGGCCTCAGACCAAACACTTGACACTTACTAGCTGTGTGACCCTGGGCAAGTCACTTAACCCCAACTGCCTAAAAGCAAAAAAATTTTTTTTAAATATTCAATGTTTATATTTTTCAATAATTCAGACAGAAATACTCCCACTTTGGCTCAAGTTGTGAGAATTTACTTTAATTTTTTAAACAAGGATCATACATGCAATGGTAATGAATTTCTTCTTAAAGAAGCAGATCATTCCATAAAACCAAGGAGAGATTTGTAAATAGAGAGCAAAAAAAAAGGATCTGTTATCATGTTAGAACAGAAGCTAAGGATAACCCAGCTAAGTCATATTATCATCATAAAAGTAAGCTTGACCCTTCAAACAGACAAATATACCTACAGCACATGGCAAGTACTAAATCAGTTTCTATACTGTATGTCCTTCCTTATGTTTATTCAGGGCATCTCATAACTAAAGTGTGTTAACTTGAACATGATAAAGAAAATAAGGCTTAGAGTAGTAATGTGCTACCCTTGGCAGGCAAAGTTAGATTACTAAATCACCATCACTAGGAACTGTGCTTTAAACAGCTCTTACACTAGTAGTCATCGAATCATAGAATTTGAAAGCTGCCAGAGATGACATTGGAGAGCCCAAGCCCATGGACTTATGCATGTTTAAATGCCTTTCCAATGTCACATGGCTAGCTAGTGGGATGGTGGTGGAGGAGGACTGTTTGTGCTGGGCTTGCTACTATCACTCATTTGGTCCTCCTGGAAGCAACTGCCAAGATTTCAAAGATATCACAGGGCATGAAAGAAAAGAGAAAGGCCAACATCCTTTGCCCATGTAAGGCAGAAATCAACGTGTTTGAACAGAATGCTCATATAAGAACGAACTGGGGACCTCACTTTGAGCTATTGTGAAAAAGTAAACATATCATTTGTAGTCAATCCAGGGTGGGGGGAATGGTGGCTCTCTCTGCCCTAAAGGTATGTGAAAGGACAAATTAATTGATTTCTCAAGGTATAGAAGGACAAAACAAGCTTGTATTTCATTTTTTCAAAATTGTACTCTAGAAACCCAACTTTGATGTTAATTACAGTTAAGTTCTTATGGAGTTGTATGCATGTATATAATGCCTCACTGGAACCAGCAGAATCTAAATGAATGCTTTAATGATAATAAAGCATCCACAAAAACACCTAACAGCCTTTGGGACTGAAAATAAGTCTGAGGGTGCTATAAGGATCAAACAAGAAAGTATTTCCAATTTTCTACATGTAAGTTTCTCATAATAATCACATTTAACAACTATATTCATAGAATAACCTTGGGCACAGGACCTTAGGGCTCAGATGATTTTATAGGAGAAGCAAAATTGGAAAAATATTTCTTTTCTTCAAAGGAAAGACAATAAGGGGAGTACTGATAGTTTAATTACGTACCTATTAGGTGAGTAAAGTCAACATCTAATCTCTGTCGATATTTGAAGTCTGGGTCCATGCCACTGCCATGCAGCACTATCTGTGAAACACACTCTTCAATGATCTTATAATACTGTGGCCTAGTGAGAAACAAAAACAAAGCGATACATGTCCAGCTCTCAGAAAAAAAGTTTCCTCAAGAAGTCAGATGGAAGGAAGATGAAAGACTAAAATTACCTTTTTTTCTTCAGCAGTCAAATTGTGAAACTCTCAAGATACAAACAGAAGAAATTAATGTCTACTTTTTGAATATATCAACCTTATTTTCTAACATACAGTGAGAGAATCTGATAAGGCTACTTAAGAGGTTAATAGTCTCATCTATTTGGCTTCAACCTTGGATTCTCATGCATGTAAGCAACTCTTGAAGAGATGGAAATCGGCCAATTCATGTATAGGGGCTGCAGCTACAAGAAAAGATAGTACTTAAAGTCAAAGTCCTTGGCACTGTCAAATAGTCTGACATCTCAAAGAGATTTCGTTTTATTCATGGAAATGACATTAAAGAAGATGTGTTACCATGTGCTTTGCCACTCCACCCTATGAACCATGAGAGTTTTCCATTGAACTGGCAGTTGAAACCTCCTCTACTAGACGAAGAGCTCCCTGAGAGCAAGGATTGGAACTCTAGCACTCAGCTAAGTTAGTGCTTAATAAATGCTTTGCATACTTTCATTCATTCATTGAATTATAAAATATGGGAATGGAAAGGGCCTCAGTGATCATCTTATTCAATTTCTGAATTTTACAGGTGGGGAAATTTAGGCTGAAAGAGGTTAGGTCCTTTCAAAAAGGTCATACAGATGAATCAAGATAAGACTTAGTTCTTCTGACACCTAAGGCAGTGTTTTTTCTACTATATCAGTGAGCAATAAATTACAATGATCTGAGTTTGAATCTCTTCATTTGTAAATGGGAATAACAGACTCTGGACAAAAATATTCTCACTTACCTGGCATTCTTAGGAGTGCAAAGGCAACATAACTAAGTTTTAAAAATAAATAAGACAACTTCTCAGGGCACCTTTTTAAAAAGACTTCGATCATCTGAGATAGAAACTTGTCAAATGCAGGTTAACATACTTGCCTTCTTAGAAAGAAAAAAACTAAAATTAATCCTCTTTTCTTAATGATTTACCATCATCACGACCTTCCACTACTATCCTAGGCATTAACACAGTAACTCTGCTTCCTCATTTGCTACTAGGCATCATTTCTGTGATCAGTCTGCTTGCTTCTAATTTGTTTTTAATCTGATGAAATCTGAGAGTCAGAAAATCAAAGTAGTATTTTTTTTTTAATTCAAAGTGTGACTCTGCTGTGGAGGCTGGAGAAGACAGGACAACAGCTAAGCACCTGAGCTTTGGGATCCTCATTTCACCCGCCTCTCAGACAGATGATGCTAAATGATGAACTACTTTTAATAGTTCATAGACCCAAATATTTGTATTTGCAGAGGTTGAAATAGTAATTATTACATAGATAAGAGTGAAACAGGAACAACAATAAAACTTAACAAAAATACAATACATAAGTAGTTTTGAAAAAAAAAGTGTGACTGTACATACTACTCAGAAGTTATTTCCTACAAAAATCAATAAAATTAGCAGAATTTACCAAATAAACCTCGTTATGTCTCATTCTGTCTGTGGGTGGGTGCTCTCTTTGTTTCTTGCCTAGTGCTTATATCCTAGTTGGGCATACGACCTCATCCCTTCTGATACCTTTACACATGAATGCAAATTAAGAAAAAAATTGCCAAAGTTCACTCTTACCTGATATAATAATCATTTCTGATGAGCAAAAAATGTTGTAGAATGGAGAGCAAGTAATTTTCAGAAGAAGTGTCCTTTAGCATGTTATACAGAAGATGATAAACTTCATTCATATCAGTAAAAAGTCAGTTAAGAAAAAAAATCAGTTTCATTTGTCATACAGTAAGATTTTTTTTTACCCTACCACCTCCAAAAACCAATAAAACCAGCTTTACCATTTTACTTTGGTATATGTTTTTTTCAACTTAAATTCAATGAACGAGTGCTGTAACATTTCCATAAACAGATTATGTTTTCTGAACTGACAAGATCAAAAACATAATAAGAGGAAAGACTGAAGGAAGTGATCTTTTTACATTAGTTCTTAAAATGAATATGTGTTGGCTCATCATTAATTTTATAAAAGTTGTTACACCATCATTAGTAGTATACATCCAAATGATTTACTCTGAGAATATGCAGGACATTCATGTTTATCGGTTCTACCCTTGCAAGTCTGAGAGTTGCTAGAATTGTATTTATATGAAGCCTCAACTTCCATTGCCATATTTCATGCTAGAGATATTCAACATAAATTAATAGGAGCAACCTTATTTTATCTAATGACATAAGTCAATGTAAAATTAATAATTTTTTGTTATTTCAATACTTTTGGATGTAAAAAAAGACAACTAAAGACTGAAACATATTTAATCACTGATACAGATATACTATTAGCAGTCACAATACTTTCATTTCATCTACCTATATAACACAGCTAACAGAATTATTTAAATTTACATTTATAGTAAGGAGTATGAAAGATGAAAACAACTTCAACAAATTTTCTACAGTGTTATTTACATGAGAGTAGCATTAAGTATAAGTTTGCTCTTTCAAGGGGCTTCACCTAAGGGTGACTAAGTGACAAAAGTATTAAAATGCACTAATTTATAGGTGGTATAATATATTTATTTTTATAATTTATTATATTATTATTTATATATAAATAGTAATATTTATAGGTGGAAAGAAAATAATTTACATAATTCAGAGTCTTTCTTGCCTCACTTAAAATTAAAAAGGAATATTAATACCAAAAACATCATTTCAACCACGGGGTCAGTGTAATTACAACCTAAAAAAGGTTAATAAGGAAATGTTACACCTTCTCCACTTAATTTGCTCATCATGATTCCTTATGTATCAAGTATTAAAGGGTAGGGGAAGGCACTGCTTCTTAAGTAAATCCCATAATCTTATCACCGCATAAGACTAACACCTAGCAAATATCACAATACCCCTTATACCTTCAGTAATTTCATAAGAAATTATCAATGAATGACAATTACATTTGCTAGCTATACTAAACTCAAGATAAACTAAATCATTAGCACTTATAATAGCTATATAGTAGCTATCTATTTTTTAAGTGTATCTTATCTTTAAATAACAAGTAAGCCATTCATGTATTAGAAGTAAGTTACATCTTGGGGGTCAATGGAGTAGAATTTAGTCAAATAGAATAGTACCTTACCTAAAGAAATAGACCCTATGAATTTTCCCCCCAGAAGTTCCAATTCATTTCAATAAACACACCTTATACTACATACCTGGAAAAGAATACAAACAGGAACCTTGCTATAACATGGCCCATAATGATGTAGATTTCAGTAGAATCTGGGTCCACTGTGAGGCTGACTTATCAGTAGTACCAGAAGAAGCTCATTAACAGCAGTCTGACACTCCCACAGCAGGAAACCCAAATAAAGGATTCCAGTGAAGCTCCACTACACTTAAGTGGATGCAAATTGGGTTGGCAGACAAGAACATCATGTAATGAACTACAAAATCCAAACCTCCTTCAGAAATATATCAACAACAATTTCTGTGGTTTATCAGAAGGATATTCCATTTCTGCTCGAATGTCATTGAGACGATGTGATAATTCATTTAGGTCGTCATCTTTGTTCTCATCAAATACTCTCAACTGGATATCAAGTTCATCATTGTCTTTTTCTTTCAGACCCTAATACAAAAAAAAAAAATTTCAAAGGTAAATATGTTTCCAGATAACATTATGTATTTTACCTATCAAAAGGCCATATACAGAACAACTTCATTTCCTGCACCTACGCATGGTAATATTATCTTGATCCAGACACATCATTTCCTAAGAAAAAGTCATTGTAGCTAATTTCTAGGTATCAAAATAAAAGGACATTTTTTACATGTTCCCAAGTTTTCCATATTCAGGTTCAAATATATTTACCTATCAGATTTACAACTGAAAGCCCTGTTCCAGTAAACTACTTCCTACAAACCCATATTTAATGGAATTCTTTTGTCTGGGTACACTAATAAAAGACAGTTAAAAAAAAAACAAACTCGTGCAGTTGGAACAATCACATATACAAATGTAGACCAACTGTATTAAGGACAAATAGAAGGTGACAGATATAGATATAGATATAGATATATAGATATATATTCAAGCACAACGGTCCCAAGTATGGCATGGAAAGTTGTATAAAGGTGTTTTTCCTCCCTTTAAAATCATATTTTGTGATTAAAAAGCAATAAAATAAGATTTTTTTTCTTAAAAGGACATAAATACATATTCTCCTTTACTCCCATTTCATATTCTTTTGAGTAATCACAAAATAGTAATTTGGGCATTAATGTTATTTTTGTAATATGTTACGTACACATACATTATAATCTTTTAATGCTAATCAAAATAATAATAACAAAGCTTTTGAGCATGCCACACTAGAGACTATTGGGTTCAATATATATCACCTGCAATGTCTTTAAATATGTCTTTCCCTTAAGCTGCAGTTTTCAGGACTCAAATCGATTTATCACAACTGAGGATGATCAAAGGTGGTAGAGCCTGTGGGACTAGGGTGTTCTGATTTAAGCTTGAACTCTAAAAGTAACATACAAGGATTCTACAGTTTAAATTAGAGAGAAAAATGAGTGGAATACATTTTGGGGGGAAAACTGTGATTATTCAGTGGAATAAATATAGAGTTAATGGCCACTTTCGTCACTAAAATTGAATACAAAGGTAAAATTTTTCATGACATTTAACAAATTTCATTAAAATGCAACTAATTAAACTATGCTAATTTAGTTTCATAGCATTCGATAAATATTTAGCATTGCCTTTATACATATTCCATATAAAAGATACTAAGTTTTATTTTTAAGTTGTAATTTACTGAGAACTAATTATCCACCTTGATTTTAACAGAATTTACATTGTGATAATAGTGATAATTTGCAAAGCAAAACAAAACAACCTAAATCTGTTGGGTCAGTAATACATGCTAATGTTTTCTATTTTTGAAAATAACCTACTTAGATTTTCTCTAATCTGTGGGATGTTTCACATTGTTATCTTACCATGTCAAACAATATGTTACCAAAGGTTAATGCTACGTAGGACGTGGACTTTTTTTAACAAATTAAAAAGTTACAATCAACATGGAGTTATGGATTTGTAATTAAATTTCCTCCACAAAGAAACAAAGCTTAGGATTAAAATACACTCCATAAAAATGCTTAGCAAAAATACTAAATTTAATATTAAATTTAAACATTAATTAATTGAAACATTACTTGAATACTGAATTAAAATTAAATAGGGTCAGGGCATTAGTGACATAGCAACTGTACTTAAATAAATGATATGATAAATCTTGTAAGATATGGTACTAAGTTATTGAGATAATCAAGAAAACAAAAATTTGTACTTAATGACAGGGATATCTTTTATTATGACATACTAAAACCTCTTGGCAAAAAATACAGATTGCATTATCCAAACTATTTTTTAAATACTTTTCAAAAATATTAATCTTTTGACAATTTTTAACTTTGCAAGCATTGTGCACATACTCTGGCTACGTTAGCTCAGTCTTAATCAAGTACCTTCTATAGATACATTATGCATATAACTTTTTATGATCCTAGTAAATATTCGGTTCGTTTAAAAAAAAAATCTTTCTTCCTTTCCTCCACTGTCTGCTTCCCTGACACAACCAGGAAAACCAAGACCCTTCTGGTAAATAGGCATTGACCTCCAATGCAGTGCCTCAGCTTGAGACTTTTATTTGATACTAATTAAAAAGTCTCTTCCAACTTTTGTTGTTCAGTTGTTTCAGTCATGTCCAGCTCTTTATGACCCCATTTGGGGTTTTCTTGGCAAAGATAATGAAGTGGTTTACAGTTTCCTTCTCCAGCTCATTTTACAGATGAGGAAACTGAGGCAGAGTTAAGTAAATTTCCCAGGGTCACACAACTAGTAAGCATCTGAGGCTGGATTTGAATTCACTAAGATGAGTCTTCCTGACTCTATCCCAATGTGCCACCTAGCTGCCCTCTCTTCCAACTATGGTTAAATTAATTTTAATTTATCTCTCAAACACGAAGTTACTAAAGGGAAAATATAAAGAGTACAAAACAACAGTCACATTGGCCTGTTTTTCCACCATTGTAGAAATTAACTCAAGATATTATTAACAGGAAACAGAGAAGGATTTTATTAAGAAAAAAAATTCTAGAGCCCAATTTCTCTTGAGTATTTCAATCACACTAATATGAAAAAAAAAGGACAAAGGTGTTAGAATGATGGCTGAGAGATTCTTCTTGATTGTCAATCATACTAGTGAAAGTTTCTATGGTCAAAATGTCTTTAAAAACACTCCCATTGAGGAGTGGGAAAAAACCAATGTACAAACATATTTTAATAATTCCATTTTAGAAGTCTCTCAAAATCATTGTGATTTTCAAGAAGCCCAAAGTATCAACTACCTATCAAAGAACCAAAAATTTTATAATGACAAGCTTGAAAAAGTTTCAGCTAGTCTTAAAAGCCAAGAAAACATAACTTTCCCTTGCCCCCAAACATATTCTCCTCACCATTCCCTATACATCTTACCAGCCGTGGCAAAATTGCCAAAGGAGATGAGTGAATTATTTCTAAGGCTGAGACACCAAAATGTACAGGGAAGTAATTGAAGTCACTTGCTGCCATTCAAATATATCCTATCATGGTACTGTATGTCATACCTCATTATCCAGTAGGAACAAGAATAAGGTACACTATAGAAATGAATTTTCTAGACAAAAGAAAACTATCAACCCTTTCAAACATCAAAAGAATTTTTTCTTTTAACCATTCCGGGTGTAAAAATATGCTTCTTATGTATTAAACATTTTCCTGCCACCCTCAATGGCACACAGTGACCATGTCTGAACCTTGTCTAAATGACTTAAGCTCATTATTGTGAACATCTTTAGTCGTCCTATGAAGTGATGGCCTCAGGAGTTCTACAAGTAGAACTGACTGGTTCCTGGATTAAATGGCCCACAAGTGTTAGAATTTGGGGTTTCTATGTCAGTTATTCATCATTTTCCTGTCTCTTCCTTGGCTGGTAGCTGTCAGTTGTCACTTCACTGCTAGAAGTCCTGTAGCACCATCACCCCAAATACCGCCACCATGCCTAATACACACACGCACACACCCTGCCACCTCAAACTTCAAACTGCTTCTAGAATTCTATTTACAATACGAGTTCAAAGACTAAAAATGGATTACAAGGATCTTTATGAATATATAACACAAGCTTTATTATGTGGACTTTACAAAGAATCACATGGCTTTTTCCCTTACTTCCTCAGTTCACCTTAGTTCTAGATAACTGAGGCTGCTGGCTTAGTGACTTCTGGGTAACCTACATTCCTAGAGGCCTCTAACAAGGCCAAGGCCAAGGCCCACTCAGGCTCTCACATCACAGACTTAACAAGGAGAGCCCACAGGCACTCCAGAAGGACCTAAGGAATAAATGTGCTCATTTATTCAGCGCAATCCTATAAAAGAATTTCAAATGATAAAACAAAAAAACCACTTTGAAATGCTAAGATTTTCATTTGAGACAAACTGTCTGTATCAATTAAAAGCTAGAATGTAGTTTTCCAGCAACTTGACTAGATGGATTACCCATATGCTTCTGTTCATCTTTAGAATGAAACTAAACTTAACCTACATAAGAGAATTAGAGCTGAAACAAAGTAAAGGTCTTTTATTTCCTCAGTAGTCAATTCCCAACAAATAAATAGCATTCCAAGCCCAGGAATGGAAAAAGGGAGTCCAATGCTGCAGCCATTATTAACAGGTTTGAATTATCTGATATGTACAGTGGCTATTACAGTAATATTTAGAGGTTTAGCGGCTAAGGCTAAATTATATAATGTCTTGGATCAGAACAAATTGAAGAGGTTATAGTTGATAAGTTAGATTTACCTAAATTTGTTTTTTGCCATGTTTCATCTGGAAAATAAAAACAAATACATCACTTACTGGTAACATTTTCTTAAGTCCAGATCGGAGAAACTCATTTCTTAAATGTATCCGAAAATCAAGTTCATAAGGAGAGGTAACAAGGGCATTTATAAATTGCATGCAGGCAACCTGTAATAAGAAATCAAATTTAATTAAAGAGCAAAGCTAAAAATTAAGAAACTATACACTTAATGCATAAGAAAATTCATCTCTACCTCTACTAAATATTTGTACAACTTAAAAAGCCATAAGAAATGCACAATGAAATTGAAAATATCTACCACTGTAAAGCTTTGGAAATCTGGAGTAGTTTAAAATGGCATCAATTGCTGTAAACTCTAATAGCCAGAATAATTCTGATTTCATTATCAGATATGTACTGTTCGATAATTTTACATGTAATGAATGGTCAACTACAGTCATATGTTTATGCTGAGGACTACAATTCAATCTTAAAGATAATTAAACTCCTTTGGGGAAGCACACACAAACAAAACACTTATGCTTCTCCACTACAGCATGTTAAAAAAATAACGAGTTCTTCCTTCCATTTTCAGTTCCTTTCTCCTAGCCTACTCAATAACAAGGCTTCAATTTTACATTGTGAAAAACAATTTTCTTAGATTTATCAAATAAAGTTATGAAAATTTTCTGAGAAGTACAGAACAATGATAGCATGACATAACCAAATTGCATTACATTCTTTCTAATTTTTGATTATGATATATGTTTGGCCAAGGTATATGTAGCATATTAAATATGTAAGATGAATTAGTTTATTATGGCTGAATAAATGTATGAAAGTGAAATAAAATCATTTAATATGCATGTGACACCAATATTAATGTTTGTTACAAGTAAAGATTTCTCATTAACTACACCAGTTAGAAAATGAGTTTGGCTCACCCACTACCCACACTTAATCCTTCTCTCCTTAAAGTTACCTATTCTAAACAGATTCATCCGCTCTATTCCCCTATACCACCAACTCAAGCCCCGGGAAATTGCAGGACAGGATGGAAGCAACAAAATGCTAATTGCCAGGTGCTCCATATATTATTCCCAAATAGCATTTCTGGAAAATGCCTACTGAAGTCTCAGGCTACTGGCTAATAGTTTAACTGAACAGCTGCACATTTTAATTCATTTATTTTAAAAACAGGCTACCAGTAATATAATGCTAAAAGGGCTAATACACACTTAAAATTTGCAAGGAGACTCCTGGGAAAAAGTAGGTTTGATAGATGTTAACTTCAAGTAGCAAAGGAAACAAACAAATCAATAATTTCTACAGAAAAAAATTTCAGTACCAAATGAAAACTCCCCCCTACAACTTGAATTCCATTCCCCATCACTGTCTAACCAAACAGCTAAAGGAAATATAAGGAGAACAGATTTTGGCTAAAGATGTGCTTATCGGAGATGCAGTCTATTAGTTTAGAGAGCCAGGAAGACCTGGATTCAAATCCTGCTGCTGACACAGATAATAATGGTGTGATTCTGGACAAGTCCTGTAACCTCTGACCCTCCTCTGCAACTCCTTAAAACCCTAAGTTCCAGAATAAGGCGCTATTGTCTACACGGCAGAAGTTTCCACAGCAGAGCTTCACCATTTGGACCAATCACCAGGCCAGGCTAGACTGAACACAAAATGCATAGAGCAACTGCTAGGCTTCAGTGTGGCCACTCTTACCACCGACACCTCACCAAATTCATGTGCTTTTCTGTGCAACTCTTCAGAGAATAATGATAAACTGAAAAATCAACTAAGGTAACATAGATCTCTAAAAACTATATGACTGCAATCATATCATAGAAACGCAAGCGGCAATTATTTCCAAGATTTTGCCGATATAGCTGATGTAATAGGTTCAACAAAGGAATCCCAGAAAAGAAATGTGGGGATAAAAAATGAAAAATTTAGTCAGAAGTGTCAAAATACTAAGACAAATAGCATCGTGCAAAATACCTTGACCTTGGATCAAAATGGATGGTGAAGGCAGAGCTTTTCATTTTATGCCTAGATTGATTTGGCATATACCTTATTATACCATGCCTGTGACCCTGAGTTTTCAAAGCCCATTCTTGGTGGGAACATACCCTCTGGAAGACCCTACCACACGGAACTCCTTTTAAATACAAAACGTGCACACACCTGTCAAAAATGTCGAGGTCAAAAAGGCTTGTCACCAGGAGCAAGCCATTTTTTGAAGTCATAACTATGACTTATGAAAATACCTATGAAAGTTGTAATCAGGGTCAGTGGAGGAAGCATCCACACCAAGGACAGTAGATCCTTGAGGTACTGAAGCAAGGAGATACACTTTCTGACGCAACAGGAACTTGGTAATTTGAGGACAGCCCACCAAAGTCTCCTACTACACAGAGTGCACCTATTAGTGACTGCCTTAATTAAGGTGCAAGTTAACCTTGATATTTATGATAGAAAACCCCAGCTATTCACACACTTGAAATCAGCTGGGAAGTAGCTTTGGATATTGCACATATCCATAACTATATTATCATCATATCTGCCTGAATGAGCCTTATTATGTTATAACTATGACATGACTGAACAAGCCAAAGTACATGTCCAATCCAAAATTAATAGAGAGAAAAGTTGCCATCTGCTGGGATTGTTTTTGCCAGAAGAAATTCTAGCTTAATGGTTTGTATTAATACATTACAAGTAAAGAGAGCATTTGCACCAGAAACAAGTTAATGAGTCCTGCAGCTCTCCACAAATGGAGGTCTGTGGATCAAAGAAGAACTTTCTTTAAAACAAACTTATTCTGTACTGACAGCATGATAGAGAGTAATGTTATTATTATTCACTTCCAAAAGATGGCTAGAATATTACAACAATAGAGTAAAAGCACTTTAGTTCTACATGTTCCTATTGTCATTCCTGTTACAATGGAAACTCCTTGCAAGCAGTAACTGTTCATTCACAGAATCTAACGCAAGGCTTAGAACACAGCAGGGGCTTCAGAAACGTTACCTTGTTAAGAAACTTGGGAGGTTTTTGTTTTTTTAAGACAACTATCAAAAAGGAAGAAGACAGTGAGATATCAATTCGTTACCTAGTGGAAGTTTAAATACAAATGAACACTGAGTGACAGCCTGGTTCTGCAATAGCGGCACCTGCATGATGCCTCAATATAATTTTTATAAACATTGAGGAGAGGAAGCTGAAGGGCCATTTTGCTCCCGTTATCTACTTACACCAATATTCTAGAACTTTCCAGAGTAAAAAGAACAGTAATAAAAGTCACCAGAACAATGTCCATACAAACCTGGCCTATGTAAAAGGAAAAATGTGTGTTAGTCTGAAAGGAACCCTCAGAAATGAACCCAGGCTCCACTCATCCAAAGTTTCTAGTTGAAATTCCCCACGAATGTATGCATTTGACATTTTGCATTTTCTCCGAACAGTTAAACACAATCTTCTTGTAAAATGTCACAGGAATTGACTGACCATCACACCGCGTCTTGCCATAAAACAGTCTAGTAGCAGGCCTCAGCTATGCAGGAGGGAGCTAGCAATCAGCCAGCATAACATTCTCATGGGTGGGGGGCAGCTGAGAAGGAAGATTTCAGAGTGAATGAAAAGCAAAGTCAAGCCTCCAACTGCGTATCTCCTGACTGCTAGTACAGTGTTCTTTCTACAACACAGAAGAGGGGCATCATTTAATAGCATTTCCCCCTTTCAAAGGAGAAAAAGAAATGTTCTTGAAGTATAATTTTGACCATTAAAACACCTGCTTTCAGACATAAATATCCCTTTATACTGTTTTTTTTTAATTACCAAAATATTCTCTCTCAAATCTCTTTAGCTTTTCAAGGGAAAAAAATTACTGAAAAGAGATAGTTGAGCATTTTATGGTAGAAGCAATATCTTCATAGGGCCCTGCCACAGAGGTTGGGCAAGCCTTTCTCAAGGCCTTACGCTCAGAAGACAAGATAAGTTTTTCCTTAAAAGGCATGCAAATGCTCCTTGGAACTAAACTGCCCAGAGGACTAAGGCTCAAATTACTGATGGGCCTTCTTGCTCTGCTAAGTAGAAGACATCAAAGCAACTCTTCTCTTCGGCTTGTGAGCTAGGCACCAGCACAGCCAGGAGAGGGACAGGGCAACTCATTGGACACAATGCTTTAGCCTCACTTAGTGTCCTTTCTGGGCTCTGGCTAAATCAATGCCCTTCTCTTAACTGTAAGATAGTCCAGGAGTGTCTCATTCCATTCCAATTCTGAATGTGAAGCACCAGGGTCTAGCCTACAATCCATATGGAATGATCTTTCATCAGGATTCACATCCAAAATACAACTAAATTTGCAGCATCATGAATAAATGCATTGAGGCGTAGCTATGAATTTTTTTCCCAAACTATTTACTGCTAAAACTAAATTACTTTCTAAATTTTTATATTTAATCAATGACTTCTTACCTCATGCTCAAATTTCTATATGAATCTGCTGTCATACTACATAATCAATACATATATGTACAATATAATTTTGTTCACATATAATTACAAACTAATGGCTACTAGTGTTTTCTCCTCCACTAACCACTTACCCCAAGGTCCCTCATTCTTTCTACATCAATTCTTTTCACTTTTGTATTTGGCCTCAAGGAATGGAGGTGGAGGTGGAGATAAGGACCCCCTGACTCATTTGTAAATTCACTGAAATGAAATGAAAGCAAGAATAATAAATATTTTTTAAACTTATTCAATGGACCCAAGAGGCAGTGATGAGCAAGGCATGGTCTTCCACTCTGAGGGGACAAAAAGAGCTAGAATGTGGATCTAGTTTTCAAGGAAATAACTTCATGCTCTATTCAATACAACAAACGCTTGAGAACCTATTATACATTTGAGGCACACTTCTCAGAAATTGGGATGCAAAGACAAACATTAAACAGAATCTACATTCCAGGAGTTTACATTTAACTGTGCATGGGTGGTGGGGGGGACAGAAAATGTTGATACCTAAAAATATCAGAAAAAGGGAGGTAGGAGAAAATGCTAAAAAATTAGGAAACCAACAGATGAGTTTTGAAAAGGACAGGACCTGAGCTGAACTTGAAGGAAGATAAAGACTCTGGGAGATATATAGAAAGTGAAG